GGGGCGGGGGGGGGGGGAAGCGGGGGCTGCTTCTGCCCGGAAAGCCGAGCTTCATTCAGTGGGCGCAGGAGGACTGAGGCTGCGTGCGAAAGCGCCACGAAACGGATCGATCTGCGGAAAGCGGAGCTAAGCAAAGGAGAGCTGGCGCTGCTGGGGACAGCGCGAAAGCATCTTGCAGAGAGTTACAACAGCTCCTGGAAAGCACAGAATGGATGCTTGGTGGAATGTCAGAATGAAATTGGCTACCGAGGAGGGAAAATGCAAATAAGAGAATTTACTGTTGCGAAAAATGAGGTGGAAGGAAGGCTCTTATCATGCATGAAGAGAGAACAAAATAGTTGCAAAGAATGCAGTGAGGGGTGGTTGGGATTAGAAGGGGCAAAGAAAATGCAGTGCGATTTTTGCAGAAGTAAAACATAGTTTGGGACATGGGCGAAGAGAGCCAAAGAAGACGCCTCCAGCAGAGTGAATGGAAAATGGAAGGGATGGGATGATTTGGGTTGAAAGAGGTGAGGAAATTGTTGTTAGGAGCATTCTGTTAGTAGTGAGAGTTCAAAGTATGGAATTGAGAGAATGCTACCGTTAGTGGCCAAAAAGATGAGGAGCAAGCCATACTTGCCATACTTGTGAGAATGCTGAAATGTGGTCTTTGGTATAACTGGTGGATTTTATTCCTGGTACAGTGGCTGTGTGAACTCTGTAATGTGTGTGAAGTCTGCCTCTGCCTGACACCTGGAAGCATGCCGCCATTGCTCCCACATATAAAGAGAAGCTGTGGTGGGTTGCAGCAGAGAGCAAGGCTATCAGGAGGGAGGGGGGCATTCCAGGAAGGGCAAGCGGGACAAGAGACAGCACAGTCTGGAGGGGGAGCTTGGGAAGCATGAGAGGTTCAGGATAGCCACTCCATGGAATCTCCCAGGGTGTGTCCACCAGTTGCTGTAGTATAGATTGAGTCTGGCAAGATTCTGTCTATAGGTGTAATCAATAAAGGAACTGAATTTGGATGAATCGTTTCCTTGCAGTTCCTGGATTGGGTCTGACAAGCATAACCAGAGGGAACGCAAACACTGTAGGGGATTAGTTTGTTAAGCATGCCTGGAAAAGCATGTGACACGATTCTGATTGTAAGTGTATAAGGAATGACAGTGATCAAATCTGAAGTGTGGGGTGGCTTTAGCCAGGCAGGGGCTGTGCAGACCATATTTTGCTGTTCAGCAGCTCATTTAAAAATGTATGAATGTGAGAAAGCAAGTTATTTGTATGTTTCTTCATTTAGAGAAAGCATATGAGAGGCTTGAATTATGGAATGTTTTGTGAGAATATGGAGTTGATGCAGTAAGAGTGGTCACGTGGAGCTAAAGACTGAATTGTGAAATGAAGGAAGAATGAATGCTTGAGCGGAAGGGAAGACTGAGAAAGTTGGGCTTGGATGGAGTTGATGATATCCTGCAAAAGAACAAGGAAATAAGTGTAAAGAATAAGCAGCAGTAAAGGAAGCAGCCAGAAGCAAAGTTGGTATGCACAGATAGAAAGGTTTGAAGAAAGAGGGTGGCTGAAAGAAAGAGTGGTGTAAACTAGAGTTAGCTAGATTTCCTTTTCTTTTCAAAGACATTGCTTCCTTGGCTTAGTGTCCCTTCCGGCATTCGGCCTGACTCCTGGAGTTCTCTACGAGGGAGCAGCAGTTAAGTCAGGAGGAAGAGCGGGAGGGGGCTCAGCCCAGTCATCCCACTTCCTGGCGGCGGCAGCAATGGCTTGTCCTGGAACAGGATTTCCCAGAGACCCAAGAGGGATCCCTCGTGCCAGCTCCAAGGACTGTGGGCCGTCCAGGGTCCCTACGGCCCTGCTGAAGAATACTGGGTGCCTCTGCTGAGCCTTTGGGCTCCACTGCCTACGCACAACTGATGTTTGGGGTGAAAACAGAATAGCCTGGGCACCTGGCGGTATAGAAAGGAGAGAAGCACTTTCCTGGATGCCTTTTGCTTTCCTGGGAAGAGGAGCCCAGGAGAACAGAAGGAAAGCAGCTGGGGGAGAGGGCGGGGACTGGGCTCCTAGCAGATCTGAGGGCACCAAGCAGCTGATCAGTTGGGTCCAGCTGAGAAGGAGAGATTGCAGCTCAGGCTGAGCAGGGCAGCCCAGGCCAAGAGCTGCAGCAGAGCAGCTGACGCCAGGCCCCTCGTCCCATTGAAGTGCACTTTGCCGTCCAGCTTCAGGCAGCTGGTTTTGGGCATAGCCTGACAGCACTCTTGATAGCACGGAGCAGCGGATCCGGTGGTGCAGGCAGGGCCAGTTGTTTTGCAAACTTTGCTACAGCCTGCCACAAAGTGGCGGCCTGTCTTTTTCATCTGGAAGGAGAGAAAGAAATTGCAGTTGGTGAGTGGGGCAGGAGCAGCCACCGGGGATATTGCTGTCTCTCTAGGAGGCAGCGCAGTGGGCGGGAAGGGCTGGTTCCACCTAAAAGTCAGCTGGGAGAAGATGCAGTGGAGAAATAAGGGCTGGATCTCTATTTTGGAAAAGGCCCTCCAGTTGGAGATTCTGGCTCTTGTGGATCTGACTGCAGGAGGTGCAATGGTACGAAGCCACGCCCTTCATTAGCCTCTGGATAAGAAATCAGCCAATTTAACAGTGAACTCGTAAATGCCAAGAGTCTGGTAGGTAGAAATCGAATTAACCAAGAAATTCCAAGGCAACAGTACTTGTTATAGCCAACCAAGAGCCCAGTGGCTAGTGTATCTAAGGAGGGCATCAACTGGAGAAGCTCTTCTGCCATCGGCTTTGTGGGGGGAGGGCTTCTGAAAGAAGGTGGCACTAGCTGTGCTAGGAATGCCACATGGAGGGTGGTGGCAGAACAGAGCTGAGCTTTCAGGGTTCCTACCAGACATCATACCTCGCAGAAGTTATAGCCCACAATGCAGCTGGTTGAGGACTTCTGACCTTTGAAGCAGCCTTCTCCATGGCAGGTGAAGCTTGAGCAGACCTTTCCCTAGAAAGGAAGGGAGGAAAGGCTCAGACCATGCAGCAGAGAGCTCTTCGTCTAGAGCGGCAAACATCTAAGTGCGTAGGAGAGATTCCCATGATGGCAGACAATCCAACTATAATGAGTTTGCCCCATTGGGGAAGAGATCACCCCACCAGAACATGATGCAGCACCTACATTGCGGGGTGGTGCAGTGGTGGTGGTCATGGTGGTGGGAACTGGGGTGGTAGTGGGTGCTCTGTCACCTGGAAGAAACAAGAAAAAGTTGGCTAAGGCCTCCTTGCTCCCAGTAAGCAGTGCCAGGTTGGCACACAATGTGAGCACTGAAACTGCTGGTCAGGCAGCTCCTCTTCCAGGAAGCAGGTCACAGAGAGAGCCAGGGAAGGCCACACCAAGAATGCAACTTGGCCAGCAGCCCCATCAGGCCAGACCACTCAGTAGTGGGTCGGGCAGTGGCAGAAAGCCACTGTTGGCTGCACCAGCACCAAGCGAAGCTTCCTGATGACGAGCTTACCATAGGCCGTGGCATTAAGCTGCAGGCAGTTTGGTGAGTTGCAACATTCTACAATGCACAGCTCCAGGCTCAGGCCACCATTGCCGATGCACATCTCGGTGGCGTTGGCCCATCCGCAGTCACTGCTACACCGTGCTGTGTAGCTGGTGCTGTTGAGGCGATAAAGCTGCAGGAGCCAGAGGAGAGTGAGCAGGACTGGCAGGCGGCTTTCGGGAGTCCGCGCTTGAGCTCGGGGAGGACCGTCCCTTGTCACCCCCTCTGCTGAAACATCCCAGGAGACTCCTACCTCACAGCGTGAAGCATTGTGGCAGGGCAGCGTATTGTTTCCGTGGGCTTCGTCCTGATAGCATCTCTCTCCAGAACACTGGAAACTCTGGCAAGCGAACTGCCACAAAAGAGGGAACTGGAGGCGCACGGCAAACCCAGGCCAACGCCCCCTCCTGTCCCCATGCTCTGGGGGCCAGCCACACCCCCGGCGGCTGTCCCCTGCCACCTGTTCCCACCCAGCCTCCCTCTTGCTCAAAGGGCTTCAGTTCCTCTGTCCTGCTAAGAACCACTCCTGTGATGGAGAAGTGGCCCCATCCTTACAGGTATCATGCCTGTCCTGTTCATGGAATTGTTGGGGAAAACAGGTGCTCCAGAGATAGAATCAGGCTCTGGAAGAAATAAGAGCAGAGAAAGAGAGATGAGCTCCTGTGGCTGCCTGCATAAATGGTCTTGTGGGGCCGAATAGGAGCAAGGTTGAATATTTCAGAGAGGCATGGGAAGTAGTGATAGAAAGGACTAACTGTCCCTCTTCCAGCTGCCCCACTGAGGTCTGCCTGGCCCTTTGCTTCTGTTCTCACAGCCAGCCATCTCACCTGCTACTGCACAAGGATCCCAGTTGCCAAAGAAAAGAACAGTACAGAGAAGGAAACCTGCAGACAGACAGACAAGGTGGGTTTTCAATGGGGATGGGAGGTTGGGAGAACCAGAGATAACATTTCCAGTCATTCTGGGAATGATCTAGAGGGCTCCAGTTCGAGGACCCTCTCTTTCAAAGCCCAGGCACATCTTTCTGGATTCCCTGGGGCAAGGCTTTAGTGTTTGGCAGGCAAAAATTCAACAAAGGATGCTTTTCCCCTTGATACACAGGTACAGTGGAAGTCATGGTACGTTTCATGCTTCACCTTTGGTTGGTGCCAGACTGACCGTTCATCCAGCAACCTTCCCCAAAGCACAAGGGCACACGGAAGATGCCTCTCACCTTGGGCCGAAAGGATCCGGAAGTTGGGGCACATCATCTTGGACCACGGGACTGCTTCTCCAGATGGAAGGAAGCCCTTTGTATCCACTGTAGGTTCTTGAGTTTCTTTTGCTACAGAAGAAGAGCAGCCATGCTGATAGGAGTCTTTGGCCATCCACCTGATTGGTCGGCAAAAAAGCCGAGAGCCCCTTTACTTCCCCAGTGAGAAACAGCAAGGATAAGCAGGACGTACCGGGCCAAGAGAGCCCCGGGCCAGCTGTGCCTCCGCAAAGCCCCGCCACACTCACATGGTTAGCTTGGGACTCCTGGCTGGCTCCCCAAAGTTGTCAGAAGGGTGAGACTCCTTCCTTTTCTCTCTTTGTCCCCAAGCTGGGAATTTAATAGAAATCACCAGACAGACAGTGGAGAGTCAGAATGACACCCAAAGCTGTCAAGTTGCTTTGAGTGACTGGCTGCGCTAAAAAGGGCTGCCTTTCCATCCCCTTTTTATAGGTCTTTTAGTTTAATCGTTATTTAAATATTAAATGGTTATTAATAGAATGAAATGTGCCAGCTTATTACAATACTTCTTGCTCTGCCAGCATGAACATCTTCCTCCTAGCTTGAACAGCTGCTTTTCACTGATGTTTCCTTATCTCAAAGTTATGGCAAACGTCCTTATTTATGGTTAAGCAGAAATGTCTCTATCTACAGCTAAAGCAAATGGGCATTTTATGTTTCCTATATGTGCTTTCCTATACATAAGATGCATGCCTTCCTTTGCTCATTGGAAGCCTAATCCAACAACCCAATATCCACACACCACGCAATGTGTGGGAAGGTCCCAGCCGGTCTCGGAAGCCCTAGCCAGGCCGCTGCATCCACAGAGCAAGGCGAGCGACTTGCTGCTCAGCCCGAGCCCCCGCAGCATGGCCATTCACCTTGCCACAGCAACTCAGGAGCTGTGCATCTCACCATAGTGGAAAACCAGGCACCGGTGCTATTTGCCAAAGGCGGCCACCAGCATACAGGGATGAGGAGCCCCCGATGTCATTGCTTTTCCTGAGCTCAGCTGGGCAGTCCAGAGCAAAGGGCTGGGCTGGCTGGCCGAAACCTGTCAAGCATCCCTCTCCGTGCCTGACCCACCAAAGAGCAAGGGGGGGGGGGACTGCTCTGTGGGAACGAGCTGGTGTTTTCAGAGCCTTAGGCAGGACTGCTCTCGCCGAGCTGGAGAACTTGATCGGTGGCACCTCCACTTCGGTGCTGCGCCTAAACCTACTGCAGAAACAGCATTCCTCCTTTTCTTAGACACTTAGAAGGGCTCTCTTTCTTTCCCGCTTATCTATTTCAGAAACTACTTTTACTAGCACAAATATCTGTTGTTTGGAGGGAATTACCTGTGCCTGCATTTGCTAATTGTTTCATTTTAAGGCTGCAGCAATCCTCGTGTCCCCCACGTGGCTAAGAAAGAGTGGAAGTCCTAGTCAGATGAGATGGTCTTTCTTTGGCTGGGGCCAAGCAGGCCCAGCAAAGAGCTTTCCACACTGGGGTGTCTCCAGTGTTGCCTCAGAGAGCTTTCTAGGAAGCACAATATACGGTGAGAAATCCAAAGACAGGGTTTCTCTTTACCTAGGAAAAGGGGCTTCCACCAGTGAGACATTAACTGGGCAGCTGCTGACCTAGCCTTAAGGTAGAGTCACAGGGTTGGACTGAACAGTTGAGGGTCCCACCCCTCGCTCAGTGCAGGGACCAACTCAAAGCCTCCTCAACAGATGGCTGTCCAAAAATTGCCTGAACACATAAAGGGGAGATCAGCCCACCCCTCACCCCTCTCCAGTTTTTACTCTTAGAAAGCTTTTTTTCTGACAGTCAAAATCTGCCTTCTTGTAAATTAATCCAATATTCCCATTTCCTACACTCTGGAATGATAGAAAGCAGATCTGGACCTTCTGCTTGACATCCTTTCAGATACTTAAAGAAGAGTGGTATCACATTCCCCCTCAAACTTAAAGCTAACCATGCCTGGCTCCTTCAAATTCTTTTCATAAGTGGTCATATTGAGACCTCCTCATGGTCCTCTGAACTTGTTCTAGTGTCTCTGAATGCTTAAAATATGGCATCCAGAACTGACCATAATACAGTACTTGGGATGAGATTTGACCAAAGCAGAATAAACTGGAACCATCACTTGATCTGGAAACAATCCTTCTGTTAATGCGGTTTAGAATTGCACTTGCCTTTTTTGCAGTCCTATCACACTGCTGGATCAGTTTGCAATCAACCCCAATTCTAAAATCTTTTTCTATTACCGAGGCTGGCATTCCCCCACTCTCCAGATTTCTGCTTCCACCATTCTGGCCTCTTTGCATATCATTTATGTCAGCCTGCAACCCCTCAAGAAAACTGTTCTTCCTGCAGGCCCCAGTGACTTGTGGCTGCCAGGGAGACTGGAAAATGACAGGCCCGAAGGCCCCAGGCTGCTGGTTAATGACATGCAGCGTTGGCCCAGCAACATGTGTTTGGTTCAGCCCTAGAGGGAAGTGAAGGAAGCCCAGACAGGCATCAAAAACAGAAAACTGCCTCTTGCCTCCTTGTGTCAGCCAACGCCCAGTTGGCGGATTGACTGAGCCAGGCCCTCCTTCAGTCCCAAATTCATCCCCGCTTCTCTGAGCCAACCCTTTGGTGCTTCAGGAACTGGACCAAGAGCTGCCCAGGAATCTAGTTCTTCCAGACCTTTCCAAACAGTGCTGCTCAGACTTTGCCAAAACTTTGGCCTGAATTAGTTCCTTCTGGAACTGGAGACCTGTTTGGGAGCAAACAGGCCATAGCTGAAGGCATAGCAGCCTATTCGTTCCCCTGCTTCTGTCCCCTCAGAGCCCCAGGGCCTCTTAGCTCTTCTGTCCCCTTAGAGCAGCTGACCCAGTAGGAGTGCTCAGAAGCCACACGTGAGCAATCTTTGGGTCATCTGCAAAGAGGCACAATCCAAGCATCACCTCGAGCACACGAATGAGGATCGGTCTCTTGGCTAACTCCTTCCTTCCTAGGCTGTTGCCTGTGGCTCCTCAGGAATTCCTTCCCACCTCAAGGATGTAGGTTCGGTCTTCCGGTCAGCTCAGTTTCTGCCTCGCTGGCTTGGACATCCAGCGAGACCACCTGCTGGTGACCGGCAGGTGCCGCACCCGCCCCTCCTCCGGCTTTTCTGCAGCCCGTTCCCTACAGGAACCCACTGCTGCTCTGCGCTGCTCCGCTCACTTACCTTGCCCGCCAGCTTGCAGGGAGCCCTGGTGTCTGTCTGAACACTCTGCCTGCAGCACTGGCAGAAGAGATGCCCCCTCGAGAGCCCTCATCTCCGCCCAGGCAGAGATGGAGCCAACCAGCCGAGAGCGCTTCCAGGTGGGGGCAAGGAGGCACCTGGCTCCCTGGTGCTCTGGGCAACATGTGGATCAGCCACAGCTCCTCCAAGAGGAGCGGGTAAGCCTGGCTGGCCAACATGCTTCATAGAAAAAGGGAGGAAAAACCTGTCCTGTGATCTTTCTAGGATGGTCCTCCCAGTCGGCCACCTCATACATGGCAGTTAGGAAGGAAAGAGAGAGAGACGCATCTCTCTTGCCTTGTTGTTTCTCCACAGGGTCCGATAACCACACTTGCGCAGGGAATTCTGCCAAAGGAGAGGTTCCCTCCTTGGGGAAGCCCCTCTCAGTTCCAAGGTAAAACCCTTCTCCCTCTGAAAGCCAGAAGAGGCCACGAACACCCCCGTTTGCCCTACGGCTCAGTTTCTCTGGGCTGGGAACAGCCTGCTTCCTGGCAATCTCATAGAACACCTACCCCAGCAAAGACCGTTTCTAAACCCACTCGGATCAAATGCACGCAGGAACTGTAGTTAGACGTAGGGGCAGAAAGCAGACTCTCTCTCTCTCTGTGGGATCAACTGTTCTGTTCCAGATCAGACTCAAAATCCCAAGGGATTCTTCCCATGTACAATGGAACCAATACTCAGCTGACAGCTGCTGCTCCCTGCCCCCACCTAGGGGGACCCAGATATTGCTCTGCTAGCATGCCCAAGCTTAGCCCAATGCTAAGTTTGCCCCCATTTCCCAGAAAATCTCTGCCCCACCTGCACTGCTTGCTCTTGGTTAAATCACCACCAAGGCCTCAGCTTCCTGGGACAATTGCAGCAACAAGCCCGCCCCAATTAGATTAATGATCCACTCTTTCTATTCCCAGGGGGCCTTTGGAAGCTCAGAGTAGCAGCTCAGAAGTCAACAAAGAGAAAAACACAGCTCAGTGGCAGATTGGTACAGGCTTAACAGAGGGTAGCAGGTACCCTGAATTATACGCTGGAGCAGCAGCTTCCTTTTACCATTTTATCCCTCTTTGCAAGTGCACTGAAACCCCACCTCCTAACTTATATGAGATCTGCAAGAGAAGCCTGCCCTTCTACCAACCAGTGTTTGGGAAAGGATCCACAGCAGCCATTCAGCAACACTTCACTAGCTCGTCTCAGACAAGATCATTCCATAAGCCAGTGTGCATGCCTTTCTGGGGGCCTCCTCTCAACAGAACATTCAGCAGTAACGGCTGCAAAAGGAGATTAAGGAAGCAGAATGGTCAGAGGCAGGCAGCCCAGCTGTGAACACAAGCGTGGAACTTCCTACAGAACTGGAATTTTCTTAGCCAAAAAAGGAGGAACTTTCCTTCCAAGTTTCTTGCAGAGGGAATCTAACTTGGGTTTGAACTGCGTGTGCCTTCAGATCCTGAGCATCAAGGATGGGTTATTTAATGACAGATGTTGGGAGAAAGTCTCCATCAAACAAGGCTACAACACCACACGAGATGCTCATTCCTTCTGCCTTTAAAAGTAGTTTATTTCTATGTATCAGTTCCATACAAAGCAAACGTCTTACAGAATCCATTCTGCTGACCATGAGCATCTCTGGAGTGCCTGCTCACAAGGACTCTAGTCACTAAAACCGGGAAAAGGGGAGATGAGAGACCTTGCTCTGTGTGCGTGTGTGCGCGCGCATGCCTCTGTTTACAGCAGGCCTTGGCGTTTCAGGTCTTCATAAGTCTTCTTGTTGACCACATTCCCACTGGAGTCTTCATATTCCTCCTGGAATGATGAAGGAAGAAGCGACTGAGTGCCAAATGCAAAGCAAAGCATCCAGCACAACACAACAGCAAGGCACCGAGAACTGCAGTGTTCGCTCAGAACATGAGAAGCATTTTTCACCCATCCGACTTTTGAAGTTATGATTTCTGCACCAGGAACCCCTTCTATTTTCTCTGGGTTGCATGTATAACCTTGGAATACTCACAGGTTATGCCCTGGGCCTGTCGATCTGTGAAGAACCCCACTTCATGTTTCCACTTTGGTTCAGGGCTTGCTTTGGGGGCCTTTGTCTCAGCTGCTGGCTAGCCTTTTCACTTCCCTCTTCCCTGTCCCATCCGTGCAGTCAGCTGTTTT